CTTCTTCTCTAAGACAATGCACGTTCACATGTGGCACATTTGACGCAACACAAGATTATGGAGTTGGGTTGGGAAGTTCTAACCCACCCATCATATTCTCCAGATATGGCACCATCAGATTACCATCTTTTTCGTTCGCTGCAACACCATAATAATAGGAAAACGTATGCAAATGTGGAAAGTGTTAAAGAGGACATCGACATGTTTTTTGCTTCAAAGCCAAGTGATTTCTTTAATCAGGGCATCAACAACCTGATTGTAAGATGGAAAAGCATATTCGATAAGAATGGAGACTATTTCATTTAATAAGTGTTTTGTTTTGACATATAAGTTGTTCGGGTTTTTTCATCTAGAAAAAGCGACATTAATTTCTTGGCGACCTAATACATAGCTGCCATGTCTTAAACACAGTTAAAATTGAATTATTGAAATTGATGTTATAACAAGCACTGATTGAGTTTTATAAATTGTTTTTATTAAGGGTTTTATTGTTCACCAGTAGGTCAGTAAGTTGACAGACATACGATGCTGAAGTCAGGGGTTTGATTCTCTGTGAGGGACAAAATGTAGAAAGCTTTGAATTAAGAAAATTACCATCTTTTTTTTTTTTCTCTATACACACATATAGAGAAATTACTAATGTTATGTTGCCAAATTAATATAAATGTGACCGATATTTATCGAAAAAATATTTTAATGTAAGTAGAATTTAAAGTATTATATAAGTGACTTTTTTGATTGGGAAATCAGGATGAAGACGGTTGATAAAACATTTTATTTACAAGTTTAGAACGTTTCGAAATAACTTATTCCATCTTCAGCAAAACCTGAAAATTGTGTTACAAAGATGATTATTATTAAAGCTATAATATAATATAATAACAATCATTCTGAAACCACGGGTCACAATATTTCATTTTGGTAGTGGATGGTTGGTTCTTAAACCCAGCCACTCATCCATTCGTTCACATTCTAAAACCACAGGTCACGGTATTTCATTTTGTTAGTGGATGGTTGGTTCTTAAACCCAGCCACTCATCCATTCGTTCACATTCTAAAACCACAGGTCACGGTATTTCATTTAACGATTTCTCTTTCATCACCACAGAATCTTCAGACCTAGACTCCTACATTAAAGAAAGTCTACACATAGCTAAAGACCGCTCGACCCTTAACGACTCGCAAAGCTCTTTGGATCTAAAGTTGTTCTAATTTTCACACTTAACTCAGCCGTTATGTAATATATATATAAACATTGTTTCATCCGTCCATTTACCGCTTTTCTTAATAATTAAGTAAACTAATGATTATGTTATTGTAATTTTGGTAATAATAATCTTTGTAACACAATTTTCAGATTTCGCTGAAGATGGAAAAAGTTATTCCGAAACGTTCGAACCTTCTAGATAAAGTATTTTATCAACCGTTTTCATTTTACAAGTGACTTTGTTGCCTGTAATAAGTTAGAGCGAAATGAGTTTTTAAACTTACTTTCGACTTTGCTACTTCGTTTTCACAGAAAATTACTCGTAAATGAACGATAAGCATTTCACGTGAATTTCATCAATCTTTATCGTCTACGCTTGATTTGTAGTAGATAAAAACTCGTTCAGTGAAAGATATATTTGGTGTTTTATAGAAATTTAAGAAAGATATGTTTGTGTAACAAAAGACGTTAAAACAGAATAGAAACTAGAATTTTTAATCGTATGTGCGCGTGAGCTAAAAAGTCAGGTCAAAGATGAAAGAAGCACCCACCGCCACAAGGGTTCTGCTTAACTTTTAAACTATATGACGGAATTGACTGTCACTTTTATAACACAACCACAGCCGAGCGTACACTACACGTTCTGCTGTCTCGAGTCCTAGGACGCTCGATCCACAATTAAGACACGGCATGCCACACAT